CTATTCAGGCCTTCTTCTGAGCAAAGTTGTTTTTGTGGATTTGTTTGTATTCGAGACAGGGTTTCTTTGTATAGACCTGACTATCCTGGAACTCACTCTGTAGACCAGGTTGTCCTTGAACTCAGAGATCTGCCTGCCTCTGCCTCCTGGTGCTAGGCTCAAAGGTGTGTGCCACACACAGCCAATTTGTGGATTTTTAATCTGCATCATTCTACACTTTATGAATGGGGCCTGAAGGCTTTAAGGAAGTTGCCCAGGATTGTCCGGTTACCTTCTTTTTTTTTTTTTTTTTTTTGTTTGTTTGTTTGGGTTTTTTTCGAGACAGGGTTTCTCTAGCCTGGCTGTCCTGGAACTCACTCTGTAGACCAGGCTGGCCTCGAACTCAGAAATCCGCCTGCCTCTGCCTCCCAAGTGCTGGGATTAAAGGCGTGCACCACCACTGCCCGGCACCTTCCTTCTTTCTTTTGTTGTTGTAGTTTTACATCCTTATTTTTAATTTTGAGTTATGTGTGAGCATGTGTAGGGTGGTTCTGTACCTACCCAGAGTGTGCAGGCCCAAGAAGGCCAGGAGAGGTGTTGGATCCCCTAGCTGAAGTTACAGGTGACCATGGGCTGGTTGACACGGCCTTCTTACAGGAGCAGTCAGTATGAGCTCTTAACTGCTGACCCATTCTCTCTAGTCTCTTGGTTTTGTGGTTACTGTTGTTGTTTGAGACAGGGTCTCTGCACGTAGCCCTGGCTGTTCTGGAGCTTGCTGTGTAGATCAGGTTGGCCTCAAACTCACTCCTGCCTCTGCTTCTGAGGTGCTGGGGAAGCATGCTTTACTACACCCACGCCCAGAAGCCAGTCTCTTAAAATCACGAGGCCTCCTGTTTCCAGCTCCCTGGCCTCCTTGTACATCAGTCTGTGGGGTAGAAGTCAGCGGAGGGAGTAAAGGAGCCTCTGGCACTCCATGGTTCTCTGACTGGGAGATCAGAGGCCTAAAATATTTATTATTACTGTTGTTGTTATTGGTTTTTCGAGAGATTTTTTTTTTTTCTGTGTACCCTTGGATGTCCTGATCTCCCTCTGTAGACCAGGCTGGCTTTGAAGTCACAGATTCACCTACGTTTGCCTCCAGAGTGCTGAGATGAAAGATATTTATTCACCACCACAACTGGCTAAAATACTTATTTTTAATTCAAAAATGTGTATGTTTATGAGGGCTGGAGACATGGCTCTGGCGGTCCTTAACTTCTGTGCCACATTAGTGCTCTAAATTTACATTTATTTATTGTATGTGTGTGTGCGCATGCGCTCGCGCCATGGCACGGCAGGAGTCAGCTCTCTCCTTCCACCAATCAGGTCCCAGGAAAAAGATGCAGGTTGTCCGGCTAGGGGGGAAGTGCCTGTACCACCTCCATGACTCTGGAGTTGCTTCTTTATGGGATAGTTTGGAGCAGGAGCCAGAACAAGGGTGCCAAGGGTTTAGTCCCTCACAAGCCTGGGTGAAGAAGCTTTCTGGCAGGTCACTGTCCCCTCTGTCGATGGATGCATTTCAGGAGTTGAGGCTGGTAATGCGGTCTGTTGCTAGGGCCTGATAACGGGATAGCTCTGCTTCATGTTTGAACAAAAGGTGGTGGGGGCGGGGACAGAAGCCTCTTCACTGTCCATTTTACGTCAGCTATTTATTAAATGCATCCTAGGTGCATGGACCAAAGTCCTCTCGGTGGGAGACGGGAGATAAACAACCACAAAAGCACCCCCAGAGTGTATGATAGCACTGAGGGTTCCTGGGTGAAGGAGCGTAGGTCTGGATGCCCAGATGGATTTTATACAACTGATTTTAAATTTTGGGTGGGGCTACATAGCTGCCCCCGAGCCCATGTAGAGGTCAGAGGACAACCCTGTGAAATTGGTTTTCTCCTATCTTTTTTGTTTTGTTTTGTTTTTTGAGACAGGGTTTCTCTGTATAGCCTGGGCTGTCCTGGAACTCACTCTGTAGACCAGGCTGGCCTCGAACTCAGAAATCTGCCTGCCTCTGCCTCCCAAGTTCGGGATTAAAGGCATGTGTCACCACTGCCCACAGTCTTCTCCTATCTTAACATGGATTCTGAGGATCAAACTGAGGTCCTGAGGTTTTCTGTGGGGTAAGCATTTTACTGGATCAGCCGTCTTGTCTTGGTAGGCCAGCAGTAGAGTTGTAAATCAGGAGACAAGGAAGCCTTCTCTTGAAAGGTCTGAGCATGGAGCCCCAGAGAAGTACACAGTGAGCATATGGTCTCAGGAAAGCGTACCAGGCAGTTGAATGGCCAGAGCCAGGGCAGGAGGTCATAACAAGAAGCACCCAGATCAACAAGAGAATCACAGGTAGGAACATGTAAGGGAAGGTCATTTTTCGGACCAACCTGAACACTTGGTAAGTCAGAATGTCCACAGTCAGGAGTTCAGTGCCTCAGCTGAGTCCTGCCTGGCGTCATCCGCACTGTGCTGTATGTCTAAGGCTGTGCCTGAGCCCCTAGGCCAGTGCTCTAGAGTGTCCAGTGGTCAGGAGGGGTTTGAAAGTAAGAATCAGTACAAATGTCCAGTCAGAAAGGAGCAGGGTGTGGGGGAGGGGGAATCTGTTGCTCCTGACCACACAGAACTGTCAAAAGTTGGTGTGGCCCCTGGTGAGCTGGGTTTGTCTGCTTGTGTCTTGTAGGTGAGTGGCTGGGGGCTGCCATCCAGCTACACCTTTGGGCTTGAAAGCTGGAAGTTGAGGAGGGAGGATCTTTGAGAGGTAAGGCAGAGGGAGGTGAAGGCGGGCCCCTGGCTCTTAGAATGAGGCAGGATTTCTGCTTGGGAGAAGTCTCCCTGCTTTCCTCCCTCTCCTCCTGGGTTTTACGTCACATCACGGCTGTTTCCCCTTAGAGCTCAGCTACAAAGCTCTGTGGAGGACTCACAGCTTGGACTTATGGGGGTGCAGGAAGGAAGAGGATCAGGCAACAGGCAGCTGTGTGGGGAGCCTCCTTCCAGGGTGGGGGGTAGATCTGGGAGTCTATGAGGGTGTTCAGCTACCCTGTACGCCTCAGCAGGTCTGGTGTGTGTGTGTGTGTGTGTGTTGGAACTAGGGACTTTTAAGATCAACTACCCCCTGGATACCCAGCAGAGACTCTATAGCTGGAGGGTGTGGGCCAGGGAGAGGTTCCAAGAGGCTGAAATGGAGGGCAGGTGACAGAATGAGGAAGGGAAGCTGGGACAGTGAGCTCCAGACAGAAGATCTGTTCCCAAGGACTTGTGATGACCAAGAAGGGGAGGAAGGTGGCTTTAGGCAGAGCTGGCTGGGTTCCATCTCCAGACAGGTTCACCTTTGATCCATACTGTGAGTGAGGGAGGTCTAAGGTACCTCCAATTCCCTTTCTGGAAACCACAGAGTGAACATCAGCTGTTTGCTGTCCTCCTGGAAAGGGTTAAGTGAGCAGGATGCCTTTCCCAGCACTGCAGAAGAGCAGGCCCACATTTGGAAAGCTGGGCCCAGGTTGGAAGGTTTGAGTGGTGACATTGACAGGAGGACTTTGGTGCTTGCTGTGTTCTGCTCAGTCTTTGCCAGGGCCCCACTGCCTGGGCTCTGACCACAGAGGCTGTCTGCTGTCTAGACCAGCTGCCTCTGGTGAGAATCTGTGCCCTGTGTGGCAAGGCTTCATGAGAGAATGTGGGCCTGTCATACAAAATCTGCCAATTGTGAATCAATTGACAAACCCAAAGCCAAAAAGCACCAAGCAGCCAAGCTCAGCCCTCCGTCTGGCTGATGGTCCCTGCCTGGGCAAAGGTGGCACAGAGAGCCAGGGCCCGGTTTACCGTCACGGATGCCTCTGGAGGCAGCTCCTCCTCATTCTGCTGTTCTTCTGGTCAGCATCCTCAGGACCACCAGAAGAACATGGCCATCTTGCTAGGCTGTGTGGGCCTGGGCAGACCTTTTGCCCTCTCTGGGCCACAGTATCCTGTCCTGTGATAGGACCTGGTCTATAGGTCTCTCAGCAATTTCGAGAGCATCTGGTTAAGTCCCTCAGCCTTGGAGACAAGATGCAGTTATTATGAAGTGACTCTTTCCAAAACTTGCTTCCAGGGTGATCGGAGGTACTGTGTCCACAGTAACAGTTTTGTGTTGTGTGTGTGTTTGAGAGAGAGAGAGAGAGAGAGAGAGAATGTGTCATAAGTTGGAGCTTTGCATGACCCAGTGTAAGTATCATCAT